ATCACAGTTTTAATGTAATCACGTGATTGATGACGTCATATGTCATATGATTGGCACCTGTGTGTAAGCAATGTCCAGCAATGTATGTTTGTCCAGGTTTGACTGACAGTGGTCAAATATTTGTAGAGTTATCACAGTTTTAATGTAATCACGTGATTGATGACGTCATATGTCACATGATTGGCACCTGTGTGTAAGCAATGTCCGGCAATGTATGTCTGTCCAGGTTTGAATGACATTGGTGAAATATTTGTAGAGTTATTACAGTTTTTATGTAATCACGTCACAACAACGATCTGATTTACTCCAAACGATATCCGAAAGCATATCGGACTAAAATCGGTATTCGATTTGGGCTTCCTTTGATGTTTCACTCACGCACTCAACAAGATGACATTATGGCTACGCTTCTATCGAAGCAGTAGCCACAAAAACGCCAGTAGCCACAAAGCTAAGACCGAAGGGGAGCATGGGAAGACAAACAATTATGCTAATTTCATGCGTATTGCAGTGTTTTCTTCCTGTGCACATTTTATGCATCATGGCTTTGGCATGTTGTTAATCTAGGTCGACTGACTTTGCTCTACTGTGCATTTTTACATGTCTATATGCAAATGTAATTCGTCCCATTACGGAGTACCCAAAACCCTTTAGTCGGTCTTAGCTTCGATGATATGACTTTCTCAAACCCGACTACGTTTTTTCAATTAGGTGTATATAAACAATATTAAAAGAATCTTGTATATAAGGAACAGTATCTATTGTACATGCCTGGTTCTTTTGTTATGCATTCAGTGTTTGTTAAATGGCTGAAAGTTCGAAGATTGTGATTCCACCAAGGAACGTTTCATAGATGTTGGAGAGTTTAAAGCCCGCTTGATTCCCAATTTCCTTGAAATCCTTTTCTGACTCGCTTCTTGTTTTGTAAACGCCGTTCAAGAAGTTGGACGTTAGAACTGCGTGGACGCCATGTTGAATCCCATTAATCCMAACGTTCTTATGCAAGACACCCGCGTCGTTCACACAAAGTGTCAAGACAAGAACTTTCCCTCCTTCATGTAGAACAGAACGGCAGTTTCGTATAATCTGGATCTTTTCCTGAACACTGAAAAKGACTAAGGTATTCTTGAAAACGATCGCGTCAACGTGAAAATCTTTGGGATAAGGCTCAAAGAAATTGTGCTTGAGGAACTTGATACGGTTCTCTGGGAGTCCAAGCTGGTGGTATTCCTGAAGKGCAGTGTCTACCACGGCAGGTAGGTCTGCAACAAACCCCTGGATGTCCTGGCAATCAGGCTGCTTAAGAATAGAGGCAAGAAACGAGCCAGTTGAACCTCCTGCGTCTAGTAATCTTTTACAAGTGGACCATGGATAGACGTTATATACGGTTGGTATTCCTTTGACTTCTGGTAAAAGAAGGAGTTTTACCCGCATGGCTTGTCCTTTGTTGAAGTAGTCAGCGAACTCTCGCCTTCTCTCGTCGCTTCCAATCATCACGGTCGACGAACCTCTGAACTGCTTGGACTTGTCGTAWGGAGAGTCATCAATCTGATTCATGTATTCATAGAAATCTTTCATTCCGTGCGCAAGGAAGAAAGCTGACTGGTTGGACCTTACGGCTTCTGGCAAGGATAGCAAGCCCATCAAATACTCCTCACTAGAATAGCTGCTTAAGAAGTGTCCAAAACTTGGTCCCTGGTCCATCCTTAGGAGCTCCATTGCTCTGTTCTTGGCAAAGTGTCTGTTTTCAAGTTCTTTGCCTATTCCCCATTGAGCGAGTAAGCGCATGATCAAGTAAATTTTCTCAGAAGAAGAACATCCTGTTTTAGCAGCTATGTCCTCGATGCTCACAGACGGCTTGTCGGTGTTGCAGAGTAGGTCAGGAATCTTGAAGCCCACTACAAGGCTCAAGCATCGGTTCAACCATACACCATGAAACGTGGACAAGATGAAATTCTCTTCTTGGCCAATCGCAGGTTCTGCCATGTTTAGCTGTTAACTACGAGTTAAGTCGAAAAGATAAGGTGACAAAAAAAATTGAGTGTGGAAATGTTCGAAAACCGCGTGGTTAAACAATTGATTGTTTAAAATTTGGCTCCAGACACCGTCACGTCCAGTGGTCATCGTTTGTAGATTTAAGCCAATAGCGTCACTCGAGTAGATAATGATGACACCGACCTTTGTGTGACCGACGCTGGTATCTTGAATAAGAATTCAGTTACATTGTATTCAGTTACAACGAGATTACCTAAACTTGGAAAGATGGGAGTCAGATTGGAAAATGGAGTTTAATACCTCAAAGTGTAACGTTATAAGGGTTACCAGAAGGCTGAATCCAGACGTATTTGATTATAAACTTAGAGGGAAAGCCTTGGATTCTGTAAGTTCTGCTAAGTATCTTGGTGTTCATCTGGCTGAGGATCTTCGTTGGAACGAACACACCAGAAATATCTCAAAAAAAGCCAATAAAACACTTGGCTTTCTTAAGCGTAACTTAAGACATTGTCCATCCAGTACCAAGGAAACAGCATACAAGGCTTTAGTACGTCCTATTTTGGAATATTGCTCATCTGTCTGGGACCCGTATACAGTAAAAAATATTCGCATGGTTGAAATGGTTCAGAGGAGAGCTGCACGCTGGGTCCTGAACGCTTTGATCGTAAGGACAGTGTAACTGAAATGCTTTCAGTACTGAAGTGGAAGACGCTAGAAAGCAGACGAAGGATAGCACGACTATCTTTGATTTACAAGATACGAAATAAGCTGGTTTCTCAAGATGATGTTAGAATTAAGCCATTTGGTCATTCCTATTCTACCCGTTTCAACAAGGAGTACGTGTATACTCAGCCTATGGCCACAAAGGATTATTACAAGTACTCATTCTACCCAAGAACACTTTCAGAATGGAACCAACTCCCAAAGGAAGCAGCACTAGCAACCTCACTTGCAGCATTTAAGAATGCAATAGATATTTATAAGATATTTATTAACTTGTTGGACAATTACTATTTATTATTATTTATTCTATTTATTAATATGTTAATTATTTAATCATTTTAATAATTATTTAGCGTGGTCTAAAGTGCTCAGTATTGAGCGAATGACCTAATTGGTTGGTAAATGTAAGAACGTTGTGATTAATGGGATTCAACATGGCGTCTACGCAGTTCTAACGTCCAAATTCTTGAACGGCGTTTACAAAACAAGAAGAGAGTCAGAAAAGGATTTCAAGGAAATTGGGAATCAAGCGGGCTTTAAACTCTCCAACATCTATGAAACGTTCCTTGGTGGAATCACAATCTTCGAACTTTCAGC